CTCGCTGACGCAACAATATATATAAAGTATTCAAATTATATTTCTGTAACTATACTTACCAGTTAAACTTTGTTGTATTTCAGATGGTCAACAACTTGAAACTAACAAAAGAAAACAGTGTTTGGTGGTAAACATCTTTAAAGCAAAGATAAAACAAAGTATTAGTTATTTGTTAAAATAAAATATTTTTCTGGAAGTCTGAGTAGTTTATGGTGTGACTTTCCTGACTTAACTCGGAATTGGCTAAAACTTCACCAACAGCAGGCATGACAACTACCGAGTTTTTGCTATTAAACTTAACATCAATAAAAGAAACATATAACAAGTCTGAAATACCGAAAAATCCAACAGAATTCAATTACTTTGCCGCTTTTCTCATTATTGTTCTTAGTATTGTTGGTCTTAGCGGTAATGCACTGACAGTTTTTGCTTTGTGGAAATACCCACGTGCGCGTGGTCCTACTGCCAACTTTATCATCAGTTTATGCGTTGCTGATTTTTTGTACTGTGCCTGGAACCTTCCATTTACCGTCTCGGAATACATTATTCAGAAGTGGATTTATGGCGATATTTTCTGTATCTTATACCCCTTTGTGCAATATGTTAACTCAGCCTTGTCCTTGCTTCTCGTCACAGCAGTCACTATAAACCGTTACATACTTATTGCCCACAAAAATGTGTACGAAAACATTTACCAAAGACGCTATATCGGTCTTATGATTGTGGTAATTTGGCTTTTTACGTTTTCTTTATTGGTACCTACACTGGCTGGCGTGTGGGGTCGTTTTGGTTATGACGAGAAGCTCCTAGCTTGTTCTATTGTCGAAGTCAACGGACAATCGCCAAAAGCTTTTCTCTTTATCATTGGCTTCATTATTCCAACTTTTACCATTATATTCTGCTATGCCCGTATTTTTTGGGTTGTAAAGAGGAGTTCGAAGCGTCTTCGTAACCACAGTAAAGGAGAAGTTAAAGAACAAAAGAATCGAGACACAAAGAAACGAAAAGAAGAATGGCGTCTCACTAGGATGATCCTCATCATCTTCTGCTCTTTCATACTTTGCTTTCTTCCTCAAACAGTTATCAAGGTAAGCTCATGTTTGAGTTGATGCTACGCTGTTACAAAATAATTTCTGTATTGTACATCCATATATATATATTACATTTTACTATGGTCTAATATTAATGAAATTCGTTTATATTTTCTTCATTTAATGTTATGCGATAAAGCTTGAAATTTGGTTTGGAATTAAAACTTTTCCTCATACTATAGTGAGCTTAACGTGAAATTAAAGTATATATATACCTGTCTAAATTTAGAAAATACTTAATTAAAATGTTAAAGCTAATATGTGTACAATTTATATACATAATTTCCAACACGTGCATTAGTGTTAAGAATCTTACCTTTAACTGTATTTCTTCTATAAATCCACAGTGAAACTGAACATGAATCAGCTTAAGTACCTTAGAAATATAATTTACTGAAGCTATGTTTTAGCGTTCAATCTATTTTCAGTTCCATAACGTTCCATCTATTTTCAGTTCCATAACGCTATCTATTTTCAGTTCCATAACATTCCATCTATTTTCATTTCCATAACGTTCAATCTATTTTCAGTTCCATAACGTTCCATCTATTTTCAGTTCCATAACGCCATCTGTTTTCATTTCCATAACGTTCCATCTATTTTCAGTTCCATAACGCTATCTATTTTCAGTTCCATAACATTCCATCTATTTTCATTTCCATAACGTTCAATCTATTTTCA